CTTTGACCCATTTGCTTCATTCTTCTGGTGCTACTAGTACTAGCCCTCTGTTCTTCCCAGTAGCACATTGGACACCTTTTGACCTGAGGGGCTCATCCTCCGGCGTCATATCTTTTTGCCTTTTGGTACTGTCCATGGGGTTTTCATGGCAAGGATACTGGAGTGGGTTGCCATTTCCTTCTCCAGTGGATCAGCTTTTGTCAGAGCTCTCTGCTATGACTTTTCTGTCTTGGATGCCCCTGCACGGCATAGCTCATAGTTTCATTGAGCTACACAAGCCCCTTCGACATGACAAGGCATTGATCCTTGAAGGGGAATTGGGAAATATGTCCTGTTAAATTCACCACAGCTTACTTCTGAGTAGCCCTCAGACTGCAGACACAGAAGTGATGTAGAGCATGAGGATGAATTACTTCTAATGTAACAAGTCCATTACCACAAACAAAACATTCACAATCATATTTATCATATTTTGACAATTTATCAATATGCTTATTAGATATACAACTAGCAATAATTTTGCAAAATGTCTTAATGCGCAAACACTGATATTTCAACACATATGCTCCTGCCTGTGATGATATTCAATATGCCACCACGAATTGATGCTTCAGCACATGCTCTCTTATATCTTAATCTTAAAACACATTCACATGGGAAGTTATCACACACATTGAACTGGCTTTCAAAGTAATATGTTTGTAAAGATGCCATGGTGCAAAGAGTTAAATACTAATGCGAATGGCAACATTTATTTTTTGGGGGGCTGTGTACTTATCAAGAACATAGGAAAAGCCACACTGGATCAGAACAACGATCCATCTAATCTAGCAGTCTGTACACATGGTACTAAATCCCTGCCCACAGGATCCCTCAAGCAGAATGTGTACAAGACCTCCTGCTCAAGCTTCTCAGTAGGCACGGCACCTCTGGTACAGGAGGCACTCCACAGTCAGCAAGACTGGTAGCCATTGAAAGCATCCTTCCTCATAAATCTGTCCAACCCCTTTTTAAACCCATCCAGATTGGCAGCCATTATCATTTTCCATGGCAGTGAATTCCATAGTTTAACTATACTGCAGGAAGAACAACTTCCTTTTATCTATCCTAAACCTTCCACCAATCAGCTTCATGAGATGACCTAGGTTTGAGTGTTATGGGAGAGCAAGCTAAATGTCTCCCCTCTACATTCTTCACACCATGCATAAACAGCTCTCTCTTGTCTCCCCTTAGTCACCTTTTTTCTAAGCTAAACAGTCCCAGTTGTTGTACCTGCTCCTCATAGGGGAGCCACTCCAGTCCTCTGATCATTTTTGTTGCCCTTCTCTGTACTTTTCTCAACTCAATAATGCCCTTTTTTAGATAAGGCAACCAGAATTGAACACAATATTCCAAGTGCGGTTGCACCAAAGATATGTAAGTAAGAACTAAGACATCTTCTGCTTCTATGGCAGTTCTATTGTCTATTTTATTCCTAATTGTGCCTGACACAGAGTTTGAATTCTTCACAGTGGCTGTGCATTGGGCAGGCATTTTCATCAAGCTGTCCATTACCCCAGATCCCTTTCTTGCTCAGTCACTGCTAGTTCAGATGCCATCAATGTATCCTTGAAGCTGGGATTTTTTGCCCCAACATGCATTAGTCTACACTTGCTTATATTAAATTGCATTTGCCATTTTGATGTGCACTCTCCCAGCTTGGAGCTCCTCACAATCCTCTTTCGGTTTTAACATTCCTAAAAAATTTAGTATCATCAGTAAACTTGGCCACTTCAATATCTACTCCAAGATTATTCATGAATAGGTTGAAAAGTATTCCTCCTAACACAGAACCAATAAAGTGCCATTTATTCCCAGCCTCTCTCTTCTGTACTTTAACCAGTTAGTGATCTGTAAGAGGACCCCCTTCTTTATTTCATGACTGTTTAGTTTGCTTAGGAGTCTTTGATAAGGGACTTTATCAAAAGCCTTTTGGAAGTCCAACTACACAAAGTCTACTGGATTGTCCCATCCAGTGCTTTTTTTGGTAAGAAAAATGGTGCCAGAACTCATGAAATTATTTACCTTTCACACGTAGTCAATCACTGTGCATACACCCACACACATCAGTTGTGTAACGAAACATAATGGTCGCTGCCCTCAGTAAGCACTCAGCACGCGACCACATGACCAGTCACAAGCTGAGCATCGCCACAAGCTGAGCATCGCCATCATAACCAGCACAGATGAAGTACGCATGCATTGGATTTGACACACAAGCAGCTTGCATGCATCATTTTAATGATTTTGCTGCCAACCTGCTACGCTCAACAGGGCGATTCGAATCCACATGAACTGCAAGGTTGGCAGGAGCTGGGATGGAGCAACAGGAACTCACCCTGTTGTGCAGATTCAAACCAGTGACCTTTCGATCGACCACCCCAGCAGCACAGCAGTTTAAACCACTGTGCCCCTTGCATCCCAACTGCTTCCTTAGCCACTTACTTTCTTTTGATATATTGAAAGTAATCTTTATTGTAGGCCTTGATATTGTTAGCAATATGTTCCTGAAACTGTTTCTTTGATATTCTGATGCTCTGCTTGCATCTCCCTTGTGCAAGCTTGTGGTCTCATCTGTTCTTTTCATTTGGACAAGACTTGCATTTTTTGAAGGAAGCTTACTTCTCTCTAATAGCTTGAGTCCATGTGTTACCCACGCAGATGATTTCCTGGACTCTGTCCTACCTTTCTTCACTTGTGGTATTCATATTATCTGTGCCTCTATTACAGTGTTTTTGTGTAATTTCTAAGTGCTTTGAAATGGTTTAGACTTCTTGATCCTGTTCTTCTGCTTCTTCTTTACCAGCTCCTTCATTCTTGAGATGTGTCCCCTTTTGAAGTCAAATGCTACTGTGTTTGACCTTCTTCCACCTAACTGTATATTAAACCTGAAACCAGCTGTTACCTAATCACTCAACAGCATTTACATCCTGTACTGTCCTGGGCAACTCTACCTAGAGATTACCTCCCCTATGGTTGGTTCCATGACCAGCTGTCCAAGGGCACAGTCATTTATGGCATTGAGAAATTTAATCTCTCTGTCAAAAATGAAACATACATTTATCAAGTCAATGTATGGATAGCTGAAGTTCTCATTATTATAGTATTGCCTTGGTTGGAGGCCTCCTTGATTTCATTTCTCATCTCAGGATCACCCTGTGAGCATTCTGGTCTGGGGGAAGATAGCATATTCCTATGACTAAGTTAATTTTGGAGCCAGGAATTTTCACTCATAGTGCTTCTGTGGAGGAGTCTTCACACTTTAGATAGATTATCAAGTCTGCTGGACTCTGTGCCCTCGTTAACATAAGAGGGGAAACACCTCCTACAGTATGCCCCTCCCTGTCTTTCCTTTACAGTTTATATCCAGAGATGACTGTGTCCCATTTAATAAATAATAATAAATAAATAAATAGGTTATTTCTATTCCACCAGGTTTCAGTAATGCCTACCATATCTATGGTCTCCTTTATCACCAGGTACTTCAGCTTTCCCATTTTGACCCTAAGGCTTCCAGTATTTGCATAGGAATACCTAACCACAGTGTCCCCTCTGGCTGGGTGTAACCATTGTTCTGGCACATTGTCCTCTCCAAGTGGTTACCTCATTACTTCCTCCCTCCCCTCCTACACTTGGGCAATCTGAAACTTCCTTCCTTTCATTCACTAGAGATGCTTTGACCGAAACCAGATGCTTCCCAACTCCAGTTTTTCAGTTTAAACATTTAAGGTTCAGTTTAAAAGCTGCTCTACCACCTTTTTTATGTTACATGCCAGCAATCTGGTTTCATTCTGCTTTAAGTGGAGCCTGTCCATCCTATACAGGCCTAACTTGTCCCAAAATGTTCCTCCATACCCAACAAATGTGAAGCCCTCCTCTGTGAGGAAGCCCACCGTCTCATTCAAACATTGAAACTCCTCAGCTCTGCCTGCTTAGCTGGCCCTAGGTGTGAAACCGGTAGTATTTCAGAGAAAGCTACCTAGGAGATTATGGATTTCAACCTTCTACCTAGGAATGTAATTTGGCTTCTCAGACCTTATAACTACATTTTCCCACATCACTGGTACCAACATGGACCACAACCACTGATGCCACACCAGCATGTAATACCTGCAACCTTCACACCAGTCAGGTGTGAAGTCAGGTGTTACACCTCGTCCACAAACCCATCGTAAACCCAGCTTTCCAGCTTTTATTGCAGTCTTCCATTCCGACAGGGTTTGTTTTCACATAAAAATAATCTGTGCCCTCAAACCTTTGATCACTCTATTTTTGTATAAATATTTAGAAGAAAATAAGAATTTTACTTCTCCTTAAAGACAGGCTATTCATGCCAATCTGGTTTTACACCTCATTAGAAATCTGCCTAGATATGAAACAATAAATAAATATTCTATCTCATCTTTATTCATTTGATACTATACAGGAAGGAAATAAAAGATTCCTAATTAAACAGTTTTCATTAGTCCTTAACCTTATGATATATTTCAATCCTGGTTCAAGTTAGGTAACAACAATACAGAAGAGTGTGTAGTGGAATATGTAGAGTACGTCTTTGCCACATTTTGAGTACGTGCCAACATCAAGGAAATGGTTTATGGAGGAACTGAGACTCAGTCCAAAAACTTTTCAGAACAGAAGTGCAGCACCACGGTCTTAAGTACTTGACTTCCAAAGAATAACTATCTTACTCCTTTACTGAATCAAGCCTTTCCCTTGAACGAGGAGAGAAAGAAATTTCACCCATCGCTTCTTTTCTTACACCCATCTAGCGTACCCTCACGCGAAGTAACTAATACCCTTCTCTTTCCTATCGTCGACACACTATCCGTTATACATCACTCATCCTGCCGCCGCCGCCCCCTCCTCGTCACGCGCCGCGCCGGGCCAGGCAGGACTGGTGACATTACAGAAATATCTATCAAGCCCCATGGGGAGAACGGACGAGAGAGTTTACTCACTTCCTTCCTTGTAACCATGAGCTGGTAGAAATCCTTACTAGGCGCTGGGGCCTGTCCTCGCGCCTCGAACAAAGTACCTGCGAGGAGAGACGCCATTTTAGGACGCCAGGAGCTAGTTGCTGTGGCAACCAGGAAGAGGCGGGCGTACGGAGAGGTCACTGGAAGCCCGGCCCCCCCTCTTAAAGGAGACGACTATCTTTCCGTGCCTGGAGTCGAAGGAGCTTTGCCACCGCAACGATGGGAAGAGCTCCCTGGAATCGCCACGGTTGAGGAGGGGAGGGACGCAAAACCGCCAACGGGGGCGCCACTTGTGGTTTCGCTGACCCCGAGGGGGGACAACGCTTGCGCGCACCCCGAGGGTGACGACCCCAGCGGAGGGATACCTTTTTTTCAGCCAAGGAACGTCTGAGACAAGCGGAGGGGGACGGAAAGGATAGAACGGCTGCCGATCCTTGAGGGAGGGGAGGGGAGGGGGCTGCCGGCTCCGCGGCAGGGAGCGAGAAGGCGGGCAGGAGGAGAACACCCGCTGCTGGCGAGGGGGGGGGAGAGCGGGGGCCCGCGGGCCCCTTTGGGGGTAAAGTAGTCCCCGGCCTCCCCCTACGCCGCTGGAGGGGGTACGGTAGCGGAGGTAGACGGCGCACTGGTCGGTGGTGCGGCTTCAGCTGATAATTGAAGGGAAGAGGCACCGGCAGGGCAGAAAAAGAGCCAGAGCCATCAGGGAGGCGCGGAGCGCTTTCGCGGAGGCCGCGTCGGGACAAACTAGGTACTGTGAGAATATGGGGGGCGGTGGGGGTGGCTTGTTTTTCTATGTGAAGGTTTCTGTGGGAGTAAGAAGCCTCTCTTGTGTTGTTTTTCTTTTCCTTCCTCGCTGGGGTCAAAAATAGGGGATTTGGGGTAAGGTGGGGAGGAAGGGGCTGTTCTGTAGAACATGACAGAAGAGATTTGTGGTGAGGAAGTCCTGGGCCGGGAGGTGGGGAAGGTGACTGTTGGCTTGAGGCCTTTCATAGGCTTAAGGAAGTACTGCCTCTAAAAGAAGGCTCTTTTTATTGGGGTGGGGAGTGGTAAATACAAGGGTTTTCCTCATAAGAAAGACTGGTGGAAGAGAAGCTAGGGTGGAAGAAATGGAGCTGACAAAATGGCCAGACGGCTGCTTGAAGCTTATCGTGATTCAGCCCTTCCATCCTTTTCTCCTCCCTCTCTTGCAAACCCTAGCTGTTTAATGGGGTGAATCTGAACCTCGTATTTATATGCTGAAGTTCACAGTAGTATAGAATGCATAGACTATTACTACCCTCCCCTTTGCGGTTTGGGCCTACCGTCTACCCCCCCCCCCCCCCGGTTAAGATTTGCTTTCTGATTTGTGTGGCTTCTAAATACAAAAGGATAGTGTCAGTGTTGACACTGCACCCGATTTGTGTTCGGCCCCACTTAGAATCTCCCTAACCTTTTCACTAGCCACTATTTCCTCTGGGCTTTATTTTATGGGGTTTCTTTACCCTTTGAAGGTTCAATTGAACCCTCTTGAATACACTTGGGGGAGAAAAGAAAACTGTTCTCTGTAGCCAAACAACGACAACAATAAAAAAATGCTAAATGATCAGTAGCCTCCATATTGGCCGGGCTTTTGGTGCCCGAGGCACGGCGAAATCGTACTCTACTAAGCAGAAAACAGGTACTACTTAATCTAGTCCCTTTCGGTACTGAATCGCAAAACCGGAGCTGAATGTTTTTCACCCCTGTAATTTTAGAGCTGGGTTATGCTGCTTGTGCCTTCGAGAAGAAAGTAGCCTAGCTTGAGGCTTGTTTGCATAACGCGTCGTATTTAGATATTTGCATTCTTCTCTTTTTCCCATCCGTACCTTTCCCGCATGATAGCTTTTGAATATCTGCCGACTAGTACGGGGCTAACATTCAAACTGATCTCGGGGCTTTTCCAGCCTCGCAGGCCGAGCTGCCTGCTGTACAACTTTTATTGTTCCTTCCTCCTAATGGCCAGTGTTATTCGGTGGGGGCATTCTTCGCAGTAGGGGTTTAAAGGCATCAGGAATTTGAAAAAGTTTAGATTAGGAACAAGGAAACATTAGGGCGGAGAGACTGGAAAGTTTTATCAAGGGCTTTAGGGGAAAACATCGATGTATGGAACAAAGGTCCTGTCTGTATTATAGAGGCCTACATTCGAGGCCTGACTATGTCGCATTTACAGAGGAAAGAATTAAGAGCTTGGCATTTGTCTAATATATTCAATGCCTGGCATGCATTTTAGAATTGTTTCTAGGATTCTTTCAGTTAAATTTCAGGATCGGTTTTAATAATACAGCCATGTTCTAATAAATTTACTTTGGTTTTTCTTAATGTAAGCAGTTGTTTTCTTCCTATGTTTAGGCCTGTTCATCAAGAGGAGTATAGATCTGAGGCCACATCCCTTCCTTTTTTGACAAAATAAATTTCCTAACTATGACTTCATGTAGATATTGGCTCTTGTGACAATGTCTAGCTCTCACTTTTTTTAGTTTTGAGGATTAAAGGCAAATGGAACTAAATTTGCAGTAAAGGGGAGAAATTTTAAACAGCAAACTATTTTCAAAAAGTTGTCCTCAAAACAAGGCTTGGTAAAGCTTGTTTTCCCTACTGTTATATGTATCATATAAACAGATGTTAACAAAATGTTGTCTTGAGAACTAGAGGACAGCAGTTGTTGGTTTATTATTTGACACAATTGCATTTTCAACATTTGCTCTTATTGTATGATACTCTTTTTAATGAGTATCATACTTCTGAGGGAAGGCAACCAATAATTTCAGGAATTTGAAATTATTTAAATTTAGAGCTTTTAGATATTGTATCTTAAACACACTATATATTCAAGCCATCAGTTTACTTCAGAACCTTTAGTTAATATAACTGCATGCCATCCTTTAAAGGCATAGCTAAATTATCACTGTACTCAGCATTGATAAATTAAAGCTGCAATTCTGTGCCTTTGGGAGTATGTTCCATTTGAAACCAGAGGGACTTCCTTCTGGTTATAATTAGGCTGTTATTCTGTGCTATTTCTTAAGCATAATTTTAAAAATCTTAATCAGTTGCTTTCTTCATTTTTTGCACCTGCTTATAACATAAATCTATTTTTCCTTTCAGTTGCTTGATTCCTTTCCCTGTTGTAGTTTCTGAGGGATAAGGAATAGCAAGTACTTGGTCCCTTGCACCGTCATGTTATACAAGGATACTATGAGCCAACAGGTGTTAATCCACTTTCTGTATTTTGAATGTTTTATGCTGCTTATCCTTAAGGTTTCCTTTGCCTCCATTGTCCGCACATATACCAGGTAAAGACTGCACGAAGTAAGAATGATTGCTAACTAGAAGACTGCTATGTATTGGTTGGTTCTTCCAAGTGAAGAAGCCCTCTCCTCTAGCTACAGAAGAAATATAGAAGCCGGGTTAGGTACTGGGGATGAGCCACTTGATGAGCATGATTGATAGATATGGAACAACTTGAAAAGTATGGAAACAAAGTGATTGCCTATTTACAGTAGTTTACTGTAAACTCCTGAATTTAATAAATAGAGTTAATTTTCCAGGCTTTAGCATTGCTGGTCTGGGAGTAACTTGAGTTCCTTGATACCTTGCTGTGTAAATCTAATGTTGGCAACCAGGAATTGGAAGCATTATTCAGCTTAGAATGAATACTTTTCTGCCATGTGCTTTGGGAGGTATTTCTGCCATCCAGATTTTGACATGGGGCAGTGAAGAGGTTGTAAAAAGTTTAAATGAGTTTCTTGCACCTGTAATTTCTCTTTTGTGCTTGAAGTAAAAGGACACTCTAAAGTGGGTAGCTTTCCCCAAGACTCAGGTAAAGGAAACTACTTTGTGTTGAAGTATGCATAGCAAAATTCAGGATGCTTGCCATCAAGCAGCTGTTTAGTATACTTGTACAACTGTAGTATAGCTGGAGTCCTAAAACTATTTAGTGTAGGGCAGGCAACACTTAGACTTTTGCAGTAAGTGTCTCAGAACCACAGACTTGAACTAGTTTCATAAGGATTTCCTCTTCCTAAGGAGCCCCAGTACTATAATTCTTTGTGCTAGGATATTAGTCAAAACATTCTTGGTGCTCTTGCCAGACTACAGTCACAAGGACTCATCAAATAAACCTGAGTTATAATAGAACAGCTATAAAATCAGAGTAGTATACAAAAGACTTGAGCCACCTGTTCTTAAACTGGTAGCCTTCAGATGCTTTGACTACAACTCTTATCAGTTCCTATTTTGGCAAATGGTCTGAACCAACTGAAGGCCATTGCTTTGGTGAAGGCTGCCTTAAGCCACCAGTCATGCTGAGCAAGACTCCCTTGGTGTGTTACACACTTAATGTTATTAGAATTAGAATTTGAATGAACAGTTAACTACTGTGTTGTGGTGTTAATGAAAAAATAGATGCATGATATAAGTGGGTGCAGGGAATTTGAACCCAGTCTGGAATCCACCCAGAGTAGAGCGTTCAGTATATTTTGTGTCTGTGGAATTCTTCACTTGTTGATGTTAAGTAGACACTGGAGTTGATTTGGCATCTACTGAAGGCATTTTTACTTAGCAAATGTTTCTGGATTGATCAGCCATCAATTTTATAGTAGTATATATTATAATTTCATTTTAAATTTTAATTTTGCATTTTGATAATTCTTTTTGTTGATCACTGATTAGAAATCTATTAAAATGGAGTATAAGCATCTTGTAAATTATTCATTCACATTTGATTAACTGATTAAAGTATTAAACCTCAAATTTCATGTCTTTAGAACAGACAGCTATAGTGGTGATAACTTGGCAAAAACCTGGCCCTAATCTTGGAAGGGATAACAAGCTGGTGCCTATGTGCTAGTGCAATATTGCATAGTCCCTAGTTAGTCATAACAACTTCTAATCAAGATGTGGTAAGAATGTTGCTAGATTTTTACATGGTGTGCATATTATACAAATGTTAAGGTTACTTTGTCCCAGTTAGTGATGTGGGTTTTCCAGAAAATTTTGAATTGCATTTTTTTCTGGAAAATTAATAAAAAAACAGTTCTATGCAGACAAGCTAATCTGCACTGGAATTTTTATATGTATTAATTCTGGGGCAGGGCAACATGCAGTCTGGCCCCCATGTTTATACTGATTAATTTGGTGGTGGCAAAGAAATTGTGGGAGAAGTCAACCATTTTAGTGCTGTTGAACTCTTAAAAGCTAAAGTGTAGCTTGCTTTAAATGTGACTCCTTTAGCTTTTGAATCTCAATCATTG